AGCAAGCGTAACATCCTCTGAGCCTTTCAGCACAGCTGATTTTCAGGCCCAGCACACAGCCAAAAAATTAATCTACTTTCAGTATGCTCATTTGCCAGAAAGGAAAATAGAGATGTGTTTTATATTTGTACAGTGCAAGTGGAATACTGATGACATACAGTAGCGGGCTAGCGACGTGCTTAAAGTGCATCAATTAATTGCTCTTGCTGCTATTTATTTTTATAGGCTGTAGGCAATAAAGAATTATGGAGTTAGATTGACTGTGAAATCACACAGCATAGCTGACAGTGCTCCAGGTGCTGTTACAGACATGTAGCTTGGGGAAAAGGTAGCCTGCTTCTGAGCAAGTAGAGGAACCCCTCAGATCTATTTGAGGTATTTTGGTGTCAGATAACTGCAAACCCTCTTAATGAGTGGAATTACTGAGTTGTCAGAGAAGCCATCCTGTGGTACCCTCCTCAGAAATGGTGTGGGTATCTTCCGCCTCGGTCCCTTAGCATGGCCAGGTAGCGGCTTGCTGCCACATACCATAAGAGGAGACAAAGACTTATTTATTCACTACTTAAAAATTACTCCTACAGCTTGTAACTGTTCAGGATAGGGCATTGCCTTGGTATGCAGGGTAATGCCAAGACAAGCAGCTGAGTTTACTCAGTGTTAGTCTCTTCATTATCATAAGCACTATGCATATGCTATGTGTATGCTTTTCTTGTTTCACTAAGATGAACATCAGTAATGATTGGAAACTGTTTCTAAGTTTTAAATAACCCTACCTCCAGATACTCATTTTGGATGACAAGTGTTGGGTAGGAGTGGATCTGTGACATAATGCTGATTTTCTATACTAGAAGATTTAAGATCTGCTGGTTACCTTCAAATGTGCTCCCTAGGCTTCCTCCAGCTTTCCTTTCCCTGGTTTCTTGTCTCTGCTGGTGTACAGGATCATCTCTGTCCACATAGGCAGCTGCCAAGGGACACAGCATCTCGCCCGAAGGATGGCTAGTGGGTCTGTTTTCAGAGCTATTCTTCTCAGCTTTAGATCGGGACTATTTCAATATCCAATAGAGTATTTAACTGGATTCCTTGTGTTCTCCTCTGGTCAGCTGGGTGTTAAGTTATATCAGATGGTTCAAAGAGTGGGAGCATGCAAGAGTTTTGGGTTGTGACTGATGTCGGAGTGGTGTATGAAGAGCAGGGGAGGAGTATTTGGCTTGTAGAAAAGCTGTGGCTTCCCCCAGCCTGTGGAGTTGGAAGGTAAGAGGGAGGGTTTAACTGCAGCGTCTCCCTCCTGTGCCCCAGATTCACTCATGAGCTAGATTTTTCTTCATTTATGAATAAATATAAAGATTTTGCAGAGGGTAGCACGTCTGTGAACTGTCACACGCATGGTCTCTGTTATGGACATATGCCAAAATAAGATGGAAAGAGAGGGCCAATTTCAAGAAAATGATAATCCTTTTCTGTAAAATGTTCTGGCACTAATCTGAATCACTAGTCATACTGAAGTTCTTCAGGAGATTTAATAGCCTCGCTGAGCGTAAGAGGTTATCAAGTCTCCAAAGAAGAATAAGCATGTCAGCCGCTAGTCTCAGTTCAATTTTTTATGGACCTAATTGGTTCCAAACAAATTTATACTCTAGCCTATTTGTATGTCAGTTGATTTCTGCTACTGTATTACACAGAAAATAATACTGTCAATGAAAAAGAAAGAGCTTCTTTCTGTACTTGCTATGCATTTTCTGCTGTAACAGTAAAATTCAAGGACAGTTGAATAAAACTGTTAGGTATTTGTTATCCTGTAATGTTTGCTAAGTGCTGATTTTCTGGAGGATGACAGATGCATCTGCTTAATTAAGTAAAAGCATTAAACAGAAAAAAATGTATTTTTGAATGTTGATATTTATATTTTATGAATGGTGGTGTTGGGTTTTAGGTACCTGAATCCTAAGAAATTTAGAATAATAACCTTTTTTTTTTTTTTTTAATTTAATCCAAGCTTGTCTCACATTTGATATTTTTAATGAGTCTGTGATTTCTCTTGTTATCCTTTAAAAAATAGTCTCTTAAAGCTAATATTTTAACCATATGTTATAATCCAGTTTAAATGTTGCTTAGACTTCATTCTAAAGCTATAGAGATCTGAGGCCTTTTTTTCTATCTTTTTTCATCCTTACTGGGATGTTCTTCAAAAACGTCTTTCCTGTGATGGTTAGATACATTTCTATTAATTTGCAGCCTCCATTTATTCATGGACAGGGTTTCCTCACTTGTTCTTCTGATAACATTCTCATTGGGTTTAAATAGCCCTTCAACTTTTATTTAATTCACTCTCTTTAAACCTCAGATGTATGTTTAGATATTAGTTGTTTGCTATGTTTTGGGTTTTTTTTTTGTTTTTTTTTTTTTGTTAGGCTAAACAAATTCTACTTATCTCTTAAAATAGGCTTTAATTCTTTAGGTCATCCTTGTAGCCTGGCTCTGCTGTGAATCAGTCTTTTGTGAAAATAACTGAGCAAGTTGTAACCTGTATGCTAGAGGAGGACTCACAAGGTATACTGTCTTTCGTATTAGCCAGCTCTGTGGGACCTGCTTGGCCAGTGCATCCTTTCTTACTGCTTCAAAACATTAACAACTTGTAGATGCTGTGTGATTGCCAACATTTGCAAGTCCTTTTTTCCTTCTGCCACTCAGAAGGAAATCTTTTGTTGCTCATGTTTGAATGAAGACACTTCACCTTGTGCATTTAAAGTACATTTATTTTCTGGATCTCAAGATGTCCAGCTCCCCTTCTGTCTGGATCCCCCTCTGCACTAATAAAGCCTATAGGCTTTGGGTCATGAGCACATTTCGTTGCCATGGGTCTGCTTTGTTGTAGCAAGAACATTATACCTACTGGTGTTTCCCATAGTCATTGGTCAGCTGTACTAATAGCCTTCCCTGGGGCTGTGCTTCACCCTTCTTCACAAACTACTGCCTTGGACACTTTCCTAATTGCAGTCTTACCCTGTGGATTTTTTTTCTATCCTATCTGTTGCTCTAGAGCTGCAGGTAGGTGAAATTTGCAGTGTCATCTTAAATCTATAGTTCATTTGTGCTTCTGTCACACAAGTATGTACCTAGATAAAATGTATAGACTGAAAGAAACTCATAATATTCAGCAAGTTGTGCCATATTTTTGAAAAGTCTTTTCAAAAGGCATGTTCTTAGTAAAAATTAGATCAAGGATGCAAAAGAAAAATGAACGTGTTAAGCCTATGAGATAAAGCACATGAACAATGTATTGTAAGACAAATCATCTAAGCTTTAGATGTTGTCCATGACAAATGCAATATAATTGGAATATTTTGACTTATAAGAAAGGTTAATTAATCCATGGTTCTTCAGTTCTTGGTCATCTGCTAATACAGCTTTGGCATGATTGTTGTTTTCTGTCATTCAGTGGTTGGGGCCATCTCCAGGGAGAGGATCAGGATTTAAGTGCCCACTCAGGGTTTAAAAGAGAGCCTGGAGCCCAGGCCTCCTGTGCTGTGGTCTCTAGCTACTGAGAAAAATGATGAAAAAGGCAGGTGATTGGATGTGTTTTTGAATGAATGTTCAGGATCCTATGCTTTCTTGGGCTTTCTGTGCTATGAGTATGTGTTATTTTGTGCCTTGAGCATGCCTGCTGGACTCATTTCTCATAGTTTAGCTGCAGGATGACCGATTCTGGCATTGCAAACTGTCTTTGGTGTGAGTTGGGAGGCTTTGTGTTTAAAAACCAAAGTGCCTGTGAACTCTCAGGTACCTAAGCAGAAATCTCAGTCTTGAACTTTAGACCTGTAGGTACCTCTGCTGTTTTGGGACCAAGGCACTGAGCAGCTCTGCAGTGTTTTGTGCACGCAGCCCAAATTTGATTAGCAACATTCCCACTCTCTGTGTGTTGCATGTGGGTAGTGACACTGCCACGGTGATCTGTTCAGCCTCGTTTAACTGCAGGCACCGTTTGCTGCTCGAGGTGCTTCCCTGCATGCATCTCCCCAGGAGCAGAAGTACGTAGTTACAAGTGTGATGCTGTCACTTAAAGTAACAGTCAGCAGAGCAGCAGAATCACCGTGTTGAGTTCCAGTTCTCTTTATAAATCACTTCAAGTCTACTTTCAAAGATCCTGGTCAATATGGATGAGGATCATCTTCTACATGTCAGCCTACTTCTGTATGACTTCAGTCAGATGGTTGTATCTGTCCTTTCCCATCTTAATTGTTCTCAAAATACCAGCCTAACTCCATCCCTGGTGCAATGGAGAAAGCCCCTGAAAAGTCTCACAAGCCTTGGGTTACTCATCCTTTAACTCTTTCCTACAGATTTAGCTTAAAAAAATATAAATTGACAGATAGGATTAAAAACTGTACTTTTGCCAGGAGCAAATGGTTCTGGAGATCCGTCCGGTTCATGCCTGGTGAGTGATGTTTATCAGGTAAACATAAGACTGATATAAAGAAAAAAGGATCTTGCAAACTTGTGGAAGTTTACAGCAGTTGCCATGAGTGTCAGAACCCGTGTTTAGAGGGAGCAGTATTTTAACCACTTTTGTGCCTAGGAGGGATATCAGACAGTTGCAATCTGTCAGAGATATTTCTTTGTAACATTGGTGCTTTAGATTTTGAAGGTTTATGTCTTTTATGCATTTCCTTTCACCTATTAATTGTGACAGGTGGTGTATATGCTAGCCTTGAACTTAACTCCTAAAGACTTAACCCTGTACTAGCAGCTCTGCACTGAAGTTAATATTTTTACATGGAATAAATCCAAACTGTTAGTATACAAAATACATCACTGGTGTAATTTACTATAAAAGTAGTGTTTTTCGGATGCACAACTGATCTGTGATCATCAGCCTATATACTGAAGTACTTAAATACTCCACTAGGAACCGTACTGATCATAGGTGAAAAATCAGCATCACCTTAGAGAGCGAGCTTTGCTTTTCCAGCCTTCTGAGTCTGCCTTTTCTCTTCCTGCAGTTTGTGGATGTGACCTGGCTCAAGGAGGATTTTTTGTGAGACAGGGAGACTACATCTGTACTTTGGACTACCAGAGACTCTATGGTACACGGTGCTTCAGTTGTGATGAATTCATTGAGGGCGAAGTGGTCTCAGCACTGGGGAAAACCTATCACCCAGACTGTTTTGTGTGTGCTGTCTGCAGGTATGTTTTTTACATGAAGTCATGTTTCATTTAAAAACTAGGTTTTGAAAGACCGATGCCAGGCGTTCAAACTTATAGCCTACAGATGGGGGGAAAAAAAAGAAGTTCTGTTTTCTATTATCCACTCCTTAAAAAGTAGGAGATTTAAAAAAAAAAAAAAAAAAAAAAAAGGCAAATTCTGAGTGCCTCGGTTTTGTTCAAATGCTTTTTCTGCTTTATAGTATGTCATGCGTGAGGTTTTCAAAGTACTTAAGAAACTGCCACTGCCTCTACCAAAAGACCTTTTTCCCCAAATGTTGCTTTTTTTCTCTGGTGTCTGCTATTTTGTCTTTTGTTGACTGAAGTTATAAAGCATTCAAATGCCAGTGGCTGAGTCTTTGTCGAGCCAGCAGCATCCTGTATAAATAGATTTAAACTGGAGTTTCACAGTGCTGCTTCCAGAAAGTCCAATAGTCATTTAAAATAGGACAGAAAGGTCCTGGACTCACAAACACTTACGTACGTGTTGGATTTCACTGAGGGTCACTGGCAGTTGTGGAAGTGACAAGTGACACAGCCCACAAGGTTTCTCCCCACCCCGGCAGCCTGGTACAGTTCAGTGGGACCATTTCCCACAGGGGTACGTGCGATGTTGTGACTTGGTGTTGGTGGGGACGTTTGCAGGCTCTGCAGTACAAGCAATTGATGTCTGTTTGACCTGCATCTTAAGCCTCTGTTGTGGAAATAGCACCAGCAAATCTGTTGAAGACTTCAGGAAGAAACTTTAAGTCCACCAGACCTTCAGGAAATGGACTGTTATAGCAGCTTGGAGCAAATGGAAATGCTGTCATAATTTCTCTGGCTAAACTTGAGTCTTTAGGAGTACAAGAAAAGTAGCCCCACGTTCAAAGGGAAAGCACATCAAGGCACTGATGCACCACACTGTAGATGCTGTATGTGCTGGTGCAACGTTCGGGTGACACTGCAGCCCAAAACCAGCGTGTCTGTGTGGCTGTGGCCATCTGCCAGCCCAATCTGCCCAGCTCATAGGGCTGCTGAGCTCAGATGTCCTCCTGTGCTGATGTGGAAGCAGGACTTCAAATTCCAGAACAGCCATGGTTAGTGACAGGATGTTGATTTAATATATCAGTTGCAGGAATAATTAAATAGCCATGTTAAGGGGAAGACCCTGAGACTGACAAGTCTTTATTAAATTGTCTGTTCAAGTTTTGCTGTGTTTGATGAGAGTTTTTTTTCCTTCTGGATACTTAAACATGAACAGTAAAGATAACAAAAAAGCCTAAAATCTTCTCTTTTTTTTATTTAAAATAGGAGGAAAAATTATTTAATTGGGTAATTGTGCATCTTGTGAGTTAACAGCTGGCTGCAGGTGCTCTTGGCCTGCAGCCTGTCAGTATTACAGCTGTTCTGCAGATGGGCACAGCTCATCACGGTACCTTTCTTCTTAGCACTTCTGCAAAGTGAGGTACTTCTTCATTTAAGAGAAAAACTTGTCGATTCTGATTTCTTGATAAATATGCTTGTATCCTCAGCCACACCATGAGGGTTTAGCATTGAGTCATAAATTATTTGCCTGTGTGTTACTGTACTTAGCAGCTTGGTACCTAACTTAGGTTTCAGCCAGGCCATTGGAGGTACTAACTTCTTGCTGTACTTAGTCATTCGGATGATAGTTTGGAGCTTGGTGGTACAATTCGTCTTGTTTCCCTGGAAATTCAGAACAGTTTTCTGTATGGCTAAACAACTTATTCTTAGGTACCTAATAATTCAGGTGAGCTGAATTGCAATACAGTGAAAATACTCATTAGAACATGCTACAAATATTGCGTGTCTTGACGACACACTAAAGCTTTTAAAAGTGAAGTGCCTCATCCAATAATATCTTGTATAAAAAAAAATAATCAGATATGTTCCCTGACTTTCTGTATAATTAAGTAGTTGGATTAAAATCTGTTTCACTGATGAAATTTCTAATTGCTGCTATCTAAAACTTCAGCAGAAAGACCCAGATTTGCTTCTGTTGATATACTTAGAAGGACACAAAAATTCATGTTGCCTTCAACAGAGCCAGCTAATGCCCTGCTGACTAGAAGGATTCAATTAGTGTCTCCCAGGGGGGATGTAACACTCACTTTTAGTGCAGAGCAACAGAAGAATTCTGTCATCTGTTAATAGTAAAAACACTGGACCAGGTCCTCAACTGCTTTAAGTCAGCACTGCTTCAATTACCCCAGTCTTTGCAAGCCAGACATAATTTATGGGATTTTATGGAAAGAGTGTCCTATCTAAACATCATCAGCATTTATTTTATTGAGTGATATTCTCAGTAAAAATAAGGTGAGTAAATTGTCAATACATGTGGTTTAAGCAGAAAAATGAACTTTTTTGTTCGTTTAAATATTAAATGGCAAAAAAAAAAAAAATAGTGTGATTTGGTTTGAGGTACAGGATTGTAAAGCACCCTACCCTGGCATTTTCTTTGGTGGGAATATTCAGGAATACCATTTGTGTCCTCATTCCTTACAGATGGGCAGAAACCTTAAATAATGGACCGAAAGCACGCCATCTGAAGCAGTTGGCTGATCATGCAAAATGCATCCGACCTTGCCTTTTACAGCTGGACTTTAATGTGGGTGCTCTGTTAGAAATCTGATTTTCAGAATGGTGTGAACTTGAGAGGAGATGACAGCCTGACAGTGGGGCTGATCTTGCTCTAATGGAAACCAAGCAGACCTCTTACCAACCTTAGCAGAAGAACATTGTCAGCAAAAGGCACTTTGCACTCATGACACGGGGCTCCAGAGTGGTGCAGGATCATTAAGTGCTTTAAATGAGCACTTTCATAACCTGTATTTCTGTAGCTGCTGAAAGAACACTTTTAAACTGTTCCTACATTAAACCAGTGACAGTAGCAACTCCTTTTTTTCTTGTTTTCGGTATTTTCAGAGAAGATAAGATTTGAATAGAAGCTGGTGGGAAGTGTATATTACTTCAGATGGTGAAATCAGTGAGAAAATATAATGTGCGCACAGCTAGCTAGGGCAGTGGGAAAAAGCCAGCAACACAAGCCCAGTTGTTTTTTTGAGCTCCTGGTATTACTACTTTTGAATGCCACGTGGCTCAGGGTCACAGAAAAGAACTGTGTTCCCTGGTGGCCCCTGCACTGTGGTGATGAGCTGCTGCTCTGTGAAAAATCTTGTGTGTCAGAAACCCAACTCATCTCTGGGCATCCCTTGGGACTTGGATGCTATTGCCCTGGGCTGCCACGGGTCAAAGTGTGAAAAAAATGTATTAATATTCATTATAGATGAGAAAACCAGACTATTAAAAGTAGAGTATAATTTAGAGTCAACAGAGTATTACCTAGAGTACTGTGTGATTGTTTCTCTCTGTCTTGCATTGAGAAGTTGGTTCTTAAAACAAATTTAGGTTTTAATTGTGTATTCAGTCTGCTGGCATAAAGATTGAGGACTAAGCCCCTTCTCTCAATGCTGTTTATAGTCCAGTGACACTTATTGTATAGTGTTGTGTTTTGTGATGATGATGCCTTAAAACTAGGAATGAGAAGAAAAACAAAATAGATTAAAAAATGTTGCGTATTGCCGGCTTATTCTGGATTCCCGGGAAGCAGGTGAGCAATCTTATTCTTACAGTTTCATTAGCTGGCAGGGGCTGTGCCCTGGAGAGGGCAGCCAAAGACATTTCCTCTGAACGGTTTGTGTGTTTGTAAAAGTAAAATAGAAAGAGGGAGAAAATTAGGTTATCTGTAGCAACAGAAGCTGAGTTTTATTAAAATTGTGCACACAGTTCTTAGCTGGCTATCAGAGACAGGACTGTAGGGGTCCCAGGGGTATCTTATGCATGACGGGAAACGGAGTCTTTCACAAAGCAATGGGAAATTATATTTGTGATAATACTTTTGAAAATGGAATTTTCAGAAGTCTTAGTGTGATGGGTTATATAGATGTATTAATACATCTATACATACCTAAGATGTGGGGTCTGCATAAGGTTGTACTATACATAGACTCTGTATTTTATTTCAGTGTAATTGATGTGCTGTGTGTGCACAGAGTATTAAAAAAATCTGGAGTTTGGTTTTATAGGTTAATATAATTGGTAAAGTTGGAGTTGGGGGGCAGGGCTTATTCACTTGGAGGAAAGTATATAGTAGTTATCCCTTTAATTTCAGTACTCTTGTAATTATAAGCTGGAAAAATACAGCTTTTTGTGATGAGTAAATGATGAAGAGAGGACAGTTTGACCTGTAGCAGGGGATAAATTAGCACATACGTTCCAGGTTAGTAACCAAACAGGTTCGTGTTTGCTTTACAGAATTTGGATATCTAAGTTCATAGAATCATATCCTAGAATCATAGAAGTTTAAAATTCAGTTCATTCTGAAATGTAGCAATCAACCCAGACTTTTTGAATATGCTAAACCTTTTTAATTGTTCACTTTTTTTAGTGCTGCTGAACTTTGAAAGGGTATGGTTCCCACTTAAGCAGTACTGGGTACTTCTTAAAGCATCTTGTGAAGCAGGCTTCTTTATCTGGATGTTGAGGCCAAAGTTTTGAAATCAGACTGAATGCTCTTCTTGGCATTTTGATTCTAAACAACATATATTTATCAATATATGGTGCTTCCTGGACAAAGCAGTCCTGCTGTCCTGCCCTTCAGGTTTACATGTGAAGCATATCTATAGACCTAGAGTCATGTAAAATGGAAGGGACCTGTGGGGGTCCTGTGGTCCAGCCTCTGCCTCAAAGCAAGTCCAGTTCAAGCAGGCTGCTGACAGCATTCATTTAAAATATTTCCAAAGATGGAGATCCTCCAGACTCTCTAGATAGCCCGTTCCAGCATTTGAGCACGCTCATGGTAAATTTTTTTTTCCTTGTATTGAGTTGACATTTCCCGTGTTCCAGCTTGTATCTGCTGCCTCTTGTCCTTTCACTCTGTACCTTTGAGATGAGTGTGGCTCCAATTTTGTATATACATCATCAGATAGTTTTATACAGCAATAAGATCTCCCCTGAGTATTTTAAAGGCTAAACAAGTCCATCTCCTACAACCCCTGCCCTTGTGTCCTGTGCTCCAGCTATGGACTAGCCACCTCCACTGGTCTCCCTCCAGTAAATCTTGTCCCGAGGAGCCCCAGATGGTAGACACTGCTCCAGATGCAGTCTCTCAAATGATGAACAGAGGGGAAGATCAGAATCCTGGACCTGCTAACTACACAAATGCAGCCCAGGATGTGTTTGGCCTTCTTTGCTACAGGGACACTGTGCTGACTCACATTCAACATGGTGTCTGCCAGGACCCCAACATCTTTTGATGCTTTCCAGCTGATTGACCTCCAGGGTGTACTGGTGCATGGGGTTGTTCCTCCCTGGGTGCAGGACTTAGCATTTGCCCTTGTTGCAATTCATGTAGATAGTAGATAGCAAGTGATGTCCACTTTGGTTTAACACTCTGGGTCAAATTCATCCCTGTGGAACAACCTTGAGGGATGTGATTGTACCAGGTACCAGTTAGAGCAGAATTTGATCCTGTAGGTCCTTAGGTTGCAGTCTGACATTACACCTGACCCAGTGTAAATGCAGGCTGCTACTGAAATGGATAGCTCTGCCCTCACCACATCCCTGACTGTATACTTCTGTTAATTTTCTTATATCAAATTTAGTTGACTGTTCAGCCACAGGGTCAGATGAGCAACTTAAAGAACAGAAGGCCATCTGTCTGCTCTGAAAAAAATCAGATATTTTCTTTTGGCCCAGAAAGCTTAAATGTCATGCCTGCAGTTTGCATAGGTTGAGGCATGGCGCAGAGAAAGACAACGCCAGGTCCAGACCTTTTACTTTCAGCACACAGTTATGCTGGATTAGGCTGATGGTGGTTTGATGATTTACAATATAATTTTGTTGGTCAGCTCCAGTCATTTCTGGGTTTACAAACATTGTAGGCAGGTGGATAATGCAAAATTAATTGGGAAATGAATCATGGAAGATGTGTTACAATCCTACAAGTCATTTCAGAGAGCTGCTTTAAAGATGCTCTTAATTCTCATTTTAAAAATAGATCATCCAACTGTGAAAATCACACTGAATATTTTTAAAAGGATAAGTAGCTAATTAAAACCCATAGCAATGTTCAGTGGGTGACTGGTTGTGAGGTGTCATTATATTCGAAGGCAGATACACTGCTCTTAACCTACAATGCTATCTATAGTCCTGCTCACAAGTTAGAGCTCAGAAACTGAAACCTCATTAATTTACTGTTACCACCTTCTGTTGTGCCTTCACTTCTTCTGGCATTGAAATACTCGAGCAGGGCTCCTTGTGAGAGAGAGATGTCCGATGTTACAGAAATACTGGCAAATGTGTTGTGTACGAATTCTGGATTCCCAGTGAACAAGACAGTGAAGCAAATGCCGAGACTTAATTACAAGTTTAGAAGACCGGCAAGGGAACCTGTACCTTTGGGCAGACAATTTCGAAGGAGGATTTCCCTGCTTTTATAGACCAAGGTATCTTGCAGATGTGGAAAACTTAACAGAGAAGTTAAATAGTTGCTTTTTGTCCTTGGAATGGAAGGTCGTAGTGAATAGTTACTAAACTTTCAGAAAACAGACCAAGTAAGATATGTTTATGGGGTAGGAAAACCCCTGTAGACCCTGTGGCATGCTGTGGTGCCTGTGAGATTTGGCATGGTTTGTGGGTGTCATCTTCCTGGCTCTGTCTTTGTACTGCAGGAGGTCAATTATCCTATTCCTCTCTAAGTTTTAACTGTATTTTCTTTCAGATCATTTAATTGCCTAACATAGCTGAACCAGTTCAGAGTGAACAGTCTCTACTTCTACTTTACTTGATGCTTGGTGTATCTGTTTCAGATGGGCGTCAGTGTTCAGCTGGAAGTTCAGCTGGATTTTTTTAGGTAAATCATTGAGTAAAAAAATATATTAAATTTTTGTCTGGCTTCTGCTCCTAATATAGTAGGTACAAAAATGCTCAGTAGTTGTGGTACTTCTTCAGAGCAGTGAATTGTTGATGGCTTCCAGGATGTCACCATCTCCAGGATTATTAACGGTGCAAAGCCTCCCATTTTATTGAGACCTCTCGCGAGAGTCCAGCTGGGTCATTAGCTGAGTCCCAGTCTTGTTCCCCGTAAAGAGTATGGCAAACCATACTTGATGGTAATATCCTGTGTAGGGAGTGCAACTGGGCATAAGAATGAAAGATATTGGGGTAGTTGTATGGCTGTATAGCTGTGTGATTGTATCTGTGCAGCAGGTTAGTATTTTAATTTGGAATAGATTAGCAGTGGTCATAATAAATCTATGGATATCTGTAAATCAAGATGAGATGTCTCCCTAAAAACATGTAGGAGGTCAATCACAAGTTCTTGTCACAGTTCTGGAATAGCTGAAATTCCTTGGCTTGTACCTTTCCAAGTCAATCAATAGTGCTAAGGTCTAGACTTGATTTTGTAACATTTTGTTAAAATGGCAACATGATTAAATGGTCTCTTTCGCATTGGCAGTACAAAACTAGAACAGCATTTGATTTATATCACTCCATTTTTCAGTTTTTGCTAACTCGTCATTAATTTTCATCATCTATATAGAAGTGTATTGCATGTAGTAATTTTTATTCAGATGTATATATGTTCATTTGAATAAACTACTGTGTTGGACCAGATGACCTCCAGAAGTCCTTTCCAACCTCGTCTGTTCTGTAACATTCATGAAACTTTTTCATCATTCCATGTATTAGAAGGCTGCATGACTTTAAGCAGTATAAAAATCTGTGACTTTAAGCAGTATAAAAATCCATTGCAAATAAAAAACCCCTGTTCTTCATAACTGTTATACATAACACAGGAGCTTGCTGCTGCTGGATTGCTGGAAGACAGGACAACTTTCTGCTCACTTGGAGCAGTGAGGTTCTATCACATCCTACCTGTTACACTAGAGACAGAGATCTTCTGATCGGGTTATTGAATAAAATTCATGGTAGAAATTCCTCTCTTGAGCAGGTGGAAGTTTAGAGCTCCTGGATCTGTACTAACATGGCATTGGGCCTGTTTGTAGCAGAATCACACACAGAGCGTTTAGTTATGTCAAAGAAGAAGGCAATTTTAAAGGCTATTTTCTTAAAATCTTTTTTTCTTATCTTTAGTTAAGTGAGAAGGTAGCAAGTATTTAGTCATTTGCGAAGTGGGGGAAAAAAAAAGTGAAAAGCATAATTCCTTACACGATATCCAAAGATATAATATTGTTTAAACTCCATGTGTTATTGTAATTTTTAAAGTATCGTCTATGGTCCAAAATGGATGACAGAGTTGAACACTTACTTAGCTGGTTTAAAATAGATTTTAGTAATATTATTTAGAAAGAAAGGACAGCATTGCTTTTTATTCTCTGTTTAATAAAAAAATATTTTAAATGCAACACAAATGTAGAATAATCCACTCTTGGCCAGTTTAGGGAGGAAAATAATGTTTATGCTTAGCAAGAAGTATCTGTGCAGCTTTTGTAGTGAAGACAGCCTCTCAGTTGGTATGAATTTGATAGCATTTGTGGGGGAATGCTATCCAGAGTTTTAATTAAATGCTAATTAAATAATCTGATCAGATGGACTTCACCATGAGGCAGAAGGCTTGTGTTATGTTTGTGCCCCATTTAAGCCATATTTTGATAGCTCACTTGGGATTTAGTTGGACGTGAGCTTTGGGTGGAGTGAAATGTCTTTCTGAATCCTCACCATCCTTTTCTGCATTATAAAGTGATTTGTCCATCTGGTCGTCTTAGAGAAAAACCTCAGCAGTTTCTGTGCCCAGACAAGAAAGCTCACAGTGGAAAGCTTTTTGTTTTAAGGACATTGACAAAAAGAAAGGATTTAATTAAGTGTAAGGAGAGCTGTTGTTGAGTAGAGCAAACGAGTAATGTAGACACTTTGGGCTTTATAACTGGGATAGATTTTTCTCCTATGAGAGTTCACCAACATTTGCTTTCTGAACATATAGATTAAGGACTTTGATATGATCAAAGTTGGGAGGACAATTACTGTTTTTTTTATGTATACGAGTCATCACTCTCTTACAGCATTTTAACAACATAAAAGCAGCTGCATTTGCCTGTCCTTACTCCCTGTGATGCCAATTTTATTTTCATTCTGTAACTGATCCTGTTAGTGATCAACCCTTGCTGATACTGCGTTTCTTAGATACACAAGGATATGGACTTGAGTGCTCAGTGTGTTTTTGTATCTTTAGATACTATTTTTTTTTCTAAGTAGCTGTAACATCTGCATTTGCAATTGTCTGCTCGATATGTCCCTTTGATACCTTAGCCTCCAAGTGGCTGAAAAATAATGATTGAGAGCTGGGCAAGCAAAGAAAAAAAAATAAAACAGAGTAGTAATTGGTTCCTTTGAGGAATGATATTTCATTTTGATAAAGATGTGAGACCGTAACCTGTTTGCTTTTGTTTCCTCTGTTGTAGGCTGCCTTTCCCTGCAGGCGACCGGGTAACTTTCAACGGGAAGGAGTGCATCTGCCAGAAATGTTCCCTGCCCCCTTCCAGCAGTACTGGCTCTTTCCCCATACAGAACCTCCGAAGTAAGTAGGGGTTTCTACTTTTTTCTGTTAGTACTTCTTAGTCTGCACAGGCTTAACGACAAAAATTTTACACTAATAGGTGTAACAGGAACTTCTACCACTGTACTGCATTAAAGGTGTCAAGAAATACAAGGTAGTCATGTGAAAAAGTATATGGTAGTTTTTCAAGAAAATCTGATATTAAAAAGAAACACAAATGGTGCCATTATAGGGTTAACAATACACAGAACCTCGCAAAACATTTGATTAAAACTGGAGTAAATCTAGTTATTTGGATAAAGGCATAGTATAGATGTTAATAATTTTGAGGATTTAGTCCAACTTCAGCTATGTGAAATGTGTCTTTGTGATGGAAATTGTTTGCCTGATTGAGTACTAACAGGACACCTTCATTTGATTATCTGTGATACAGAATCTTTGTGGCAAAACCTGGCTTTGGAAAACAAAACTTTAGCTTTTCCTTGAATAAAATCTCAAACAGATGCAAGTATTTAAACCTCAGGTGCAAGTCTGCTTCAGAACTCATTAGAAATGGAGGAAATCTTGCTTGTTACAGGTTTCAGTGGATTCTGATAAGAGTCTTGGTTCAAACCCGGCTATCTGCCATGGTGTAGACTGGATGTCCAAAATAATTAGATTTGGTCTTCACCTGAGACTTAACAGCTCTGCTTCTCAAATGATGTGGTGATGGGGGTGAGCTGATGATACCATGACTTCTTAAAGGGCAGACTGAGGTCCACATCTGGTCTGTAAATACATTGTGCTGTGGCGTTATCAGGATCCCAGATAAATATCTTCCTTACCCGTGTAGACTATTTCCATTCTTCTCTCTTCCTTACTCCATTTCCCCAGTATCTTGCAATGCTGCTGCAGGGCAGCATCTTCTGATTTCACAGTGACATGCAGCACCCAGCTGGCCCAAGAGCTGCAGAGCTCTCAGGCTTCGGGAAATTGGGTAGAAATGATGTAAGCCCTCCTTGGTGTGGGGAACAGAGCTTTGATGGGTCAGTGGGAAGCACTGCAGCCACAAATACATGGAAGTGCATGCATGTATATGTAGCAGGATATGTCAGGATATGACCAATGACAATATAAAGAAAATTAACAAAATGTCTAAAAAGATAATAAGGAATTTGGGACACATTCAGTTTAATGTATAATATGTGAAAGGGCAATATGTAATACCAGCTGTTTTCCAAGTTCTTGCTAGTCCTTGGGATAGAACCAGTGTTTCAGGAATAAACAAGCAGCGTCAGAGACTTCTTGGTTGAACTGGAAAACTGAAAGTCCAGAATGGCTGGCTGTAGCTATGCTGCATATTGTACAAAGCAATAAATGGCGTTAGTGTCTCCTTGTTTTAACAACAGTCTTCTTGGAAAAGACCTTAATGTTTTAAACGAACAATTCTTTTTATAAAAAAACAGTAGTGCACAAAAACATGTGACTTCAGGCAAGTAATATGTTGACCCACTGTTGCGTTGGTTTTGCTCCTGGCTCAGAACTGCTTGATACATACTATGTACGTTATTCGTCAGCCTATTTGTCTCTGACTTGGGCTCAAGAATGCTTTCAGGAGATCTCTTGGGACTCACTGAGCTCCCAGTATCGCTTCCCCTTCTGACCAGTCCTTCTGTTTTCATCCTCCCACTTTGGTTTTGACCTCCTTTATTTATTACATTTGGAAGGAATGAAGAATGTCAAATATTTGCTTTTTGCCCGAGTCCTTGATTTTTTTCTTATTGTATAAGTATCTGCCTACCTGTTTAGTTTATAAAATGCTAGCTGTGAAAACCTCTTGTGGCACTGTTGACATTGAAAGAGTACTCAGGGCAGAATATTGACATGTAGCAGCAAATTGATGTGTTCTGCAGAGTTATTGGTTGAAATTAGGTGAGTCACCAAAGGATGCTGCATCCAAGACAGGAAGACAAGGACGTTGCATCAATAGGCGCTGTTGGCATAGCAACCACAATATTTGTTTTTAATTATCTGGAACTTAACAGAGAAAACAGCAGTTAGGAATAAAAAAGCAGCTCATAAAATGCTGCATTTCTGCCCACCCAGGCTTAAACCAGATGAAAGGTGAATGACATCTGAACACACAGTATTGTATTAAGTTTGTGAAATAAACCCCCAACCCCTGAGATTGAATTAGATTACCAGATGAAGACCTGGTGCAGGGGAGATCACAAACAAATTTCTGATTGCAGTTAAAGAATAGATACTGCAGTATTTATTGTCTTGTGGGACTAAATCCAGGCACACACCCAAATGTTCTCTTTTATTAGCAAAACTCAAATGTTCTGATCTGTGGTGCACACACTTTTGTGCTGGGCTTGTTTCCACATACTGGTGCTCTACAGGGTGACATTAGAGAGACATATTATTACTCCTTTAATCCATTCCAAATCCTCTAAAGGAAAATAAAAACTATCTTTTATTGCTGTGCCCTCAGAAATTAAACATCTACAATTGCACTAAGAGTGTCTCATTAGGGTCACGTAACCAGCTAAGTGGAATCTTAAATCAGGAAGTTTTTAAGAGGGCTGTTCAATCTTTTAATGAGATCCTATGTTTGGAGTTCTTAATAACTAGATAAATCTTTGTTAATGCTTTTGTGTATCTTTTTCTTCCATGCAAGTCGCTGTTGTGTTTCTTTTCTCTTCTGGCATCTCTAAATGACTCTTCCAATGTCTTTCAGAGTTTGTCTTTTCTCTAGCAAATTGATGATATACATGAAGAATTCCTAAAAAAAACACACCACATTTTCACATAAAATGGAAGATATAATAATGTGGAGGATTAGAAGGGTTACTGAGACATTGATAATAGAATAAGTTTATTACTGATGTTTATCCCTATTTCTCAGCATATTCTGACAATTTTAACATTTTGTAAGAAAATTGTACATAAACAGGACTGTGGAGAGTGAATGAGAGCAGGACTCTGTAGGGTATTGGAGGATTTATTTAGGATACAGAGAACCAGCTTCAAATGCCATGTCTATGTAGTATCCCCAAGCAGGGCCCTCATCAGGCGACTGTTGGCGTGGAAGCTAAGAGCAGATTTGGCTTTTACTGTCATAATAAAAAAAAAAAAAGTTATAATCACAAGCATCCATCATTTAAAAAAAAAAAAAAAAAAAAGACAAGACACTCCCCCCTGAAGTCTTGTCCTCAATTACTTTTTCTAGGCAGTATTATTTTTCTGGGCAGCTTCATATATACCCTGTTTAACCAATATAGCCCAGCCTATGTTATCCAATTATGACATGTTTTGCATTTAAAAATTTTCCTTATAACTTTTTGGATCTTTATATAAGTGAATTTCTGTAAATAATAAACATATAGCCAGACATCACTTGCACATGTTGCAATGTCGCTACCAGTCCGGAATTTATAATGCATCTGAAGTGTTAGTGTATTTTTCTTGGTTACAGAAGTTCACGTCAGAATTTTAGCTTGTTTTTTTCCACAGTTGCAGAAATAATTTTTAACTGTGAGTAAAGCTTTCAGACCTAGAAGCAAAGACTAATATGAAGGTTCTATTGTTTTAATCTCATGACTTTTAGTTCTTTCTTATTAATTTTATTGGGCTGATTTGCAACGGCTGCAAACTTCATCAGCAAAACTTCCTATCTTTTAAACAGTGTAAATCAATTAGAATAAAACCTAAGTCACTGGAAAACCTATGTCACTATTTTTTTCTTTCAATTATTCATGTCTTCTGGCAATGTTAGGGCAATACTAGGGCAGCACCTCATCAGTGTGCAGCCAGCAGCGAGCTGTTACTAGGACACCAATGGATGCTCATACTGCAGTACCCAGTATTGTTGCGTGACCATCTAAAGTGTATGATTCACTCATATTGAATTTTTCTCTTGCAGATTGTGGGGGCTGTGGTTCAGAAATAAAAAATGGGCAGTCATTGGTTGCCTTGGACAAACACTGGCATTTGGGGTGTTTTAAGTGCAATACATGCGGCAAGCTACTGAATGCAGAGTACATCAGCAAGTAAGTTCAGTGGAGGAGCATTTTCATTCATTTTCAGCATTCTTTTAATAGCAAATAACTAATTCAGTGTTGCATATCCCTTTGCTTGTTTTTATCAGAGTTTCGAGATATATAAAAAATTAGAGATTATTACCTAAATTATTATGTAATTTGTATTAAATACAGAAAAAATCAAATGGAGAAAAGTAGAATGTGAACAAGCACATATTATCCTTTCCATGTGTTTCACATAAGCAAAAATGTTCTCAAAAAGTTCATTAAGGAGGTATGTATCATGTTTTTGTGCTGATCCAGACCTGAATGCTGTCAGATTTGGACTGAATGTGATGACAGCAATGAGAGGCAGCAGAAAGCACACACGCAAACCAAGTCCCATGTCAGCACTCATATATGTCCGCTGAGCTACATGGCTTTCACTGGCCAAGGCACCTGGGATTAATTTCTGCTTTAGAGAAGTGTGTTGATAGGATGAAATTTTCCTAAACAGCAAAGTAACTCAGTTACCAGTGCCCAGAGGTGATGGAGTTTCAGAGGTAATGTCCCAATGACTTTCAACAATTCTTTGAATTTAGATTAATACAAGTATAACATTTTAAATCACAGCTTGCACTGGAAAGAACAATATTGAATAAATGGGTGTTCTGAGATAATGCAAAACCTTATTTAAGATGTTATACTACTCTGCTGTATTTTGGTACAGGGCTTTTTCTTTGCTTGTTATTTAATAAAAAAAAAAACAACCCATAAATTGTAATGATATAGTTATTGTGAAATAGTCCTTCTGAAAAAGCTAAATGCCAAACAAAATATCTCGAGAATTAGTATCGCAATAATTAATTCAATTAATTATTGTGATAACTTATAGGTTAGTCTCTCTCCAACTAGTATGCTATAAAATTAATTTTTATGCTTCTCCAGGGAGATGTCCAATTAAATTGTGCATCTGCTAATAAATCTGTCTGATTCATGGGCTGTTTTAGCATAACACACTAAACGTATTTAACTATGTTTAATTTGCACTTTCAAACAGAAGAGACTCCAGTTTCTTCTCAAGTAATTTATTTTCATCAGTTTAGTGATCTAAATGTAAAATTTTGTGAATAGTGATCCAAATATAAAACAAATATATTAATTTCAGAGCAATAGCCCAAGTGTTGTGGTTCTAACTTTCTAGAATAAAAGCTAATACTCCTGGTTTTATTGTTCATGTTTGTAAATTGTACATTATCTTAAATCAGTTGTGGTGAAGTAACTGTTCACATCATGCATGAACGTACTGCAAGATCTATTCAGCTGCTCAAGTGGAAGTCTCTTGGTCATTACTGGCTTTCACAGAGCAGGTTCTTGTTAAGTTAACCACATGGTTAATTTGTGACTGGCTTTAAGCAAGTCTGGTCAAGAATGTCAGTAGGCTTCAGTGTTAATCAAAACTTGGTTTACAGTCAAGATAAGTCAGTTGAGAAATTACTCTGCAATCTAAGCTAAGTACAATTGGATGATAAATAAAGAGGGAAGGAATAGTATGTAGAAGTAAGGATTTTTTTTCCAAAGAGTGGGAAACACATGGAAGAATTTAATGAGTAACTCAATCAAAACAAATGCTGTGAGAGTCTCGGAGAGCAAATGTTATGACTGGGGGAGAGGCAATGGCTGAATTCAGCAACAAAGCAGGGAATTGGGATCATGGTAGAGTCAGAAGGGCGATAATAGTTCATTAACTGTTCCGTTCTTACAAAATTAATAAATACAAGTATCTGGGAGGTGGGAGTCCATAAACACCCTGTGGAGTGTTAAAGCATTAACAAATTTTAGCTGTATAATCTCCCAGTAAACCTGTAAACCTACCTAAAGCAATCTCTGTATGGCCTGTTGTTCTTCACTAGGGATGACATTCCATACTGCGAAACGGACTATCATGCAAAGTTTGGTATCAGATGTGACAATTGTGAAAAGTATATCACAGGAAGAGTGCTTGAGGTAAGGACAACCTGTCGTTCAAACACATCTCAAAAGTGTACAAAGAGACTTACTCTTTTGGATGCAGTCATATGCTCACAAGTGAGTGTTAATGCAGCAGTTTAATGTTTCTTTTGTGAAATACTAGGAACTTTTTTTGTAATTCCTTTCTGTTTCTTCTTTTAATGGTTTGATAGTACACATACTCCCTAAATGGATATTTGTGGTACTAGAGAATGTTCAGGTAGCAGAAGTAATAAGTGAATGGGTTATCAGGCACATTTTAATACTTAAGCTAAATTCCTTTGTAAATTCTGCTCTTTGATTCTGTTTTATGTTCCCCAGAGTTAGGGTGAAGCTGCTGAAAAACTAAAATCAATCTTTTGAAATGTATTTTTGTACCCAGAAATGAGCTATGTTGCAGGGATTTTTGTTTTAAAAAGCAAGGAGGTTATTTAGAGTAGGTGAATGTTTATGTTTTATGCAAAAGAGATTTCCACATAACTGACCCAGAGTCAGAAATGGATATATTCCTTTGATCTAAATAGAATTTATCCTTGGATCTAAGTGTGTGGTTATCCAATCACTGTTATAATTTATCCACTTTTTCTTTCTGCCCTTTCCCTGTATCTTGGGAAGCCTTAGCAGTACTGGAGTTAGGAAGAGTTTAGAACAGGTCACTCAGTTTAGTCCTTTCTGTTCATCAATTAAGAAAGCCTGGAGAAGTCTCAAAGTCGTTTTCTACCAGAGAAAGATTTGCTGGGAGTCACACAAAGACTTAACTAGCCAAATGGGGGATAATTATAGCTGTGGAAGGGATTGAGAAGCAAGTGGAAGGAAACAATGAGTCTGTACTAGATGGCATGGTCTGATGTTAGGGTTGGTCATGGGAGGCTTTTCTGTTATCAAATATTTTTACGAACCTCAGGCAACGGACTTTTTTTTAGTGTAAAGACAGAATCCTCACAATTTACAGATGGCTGTCTCAAGTGAGAGAGGCAAAACAGAAAAGAAAACCTTAAAAAACATTTTAAAAAGTAAGGGTTGACCAGTGGAAGCTGCTACATGTTTTCAGAGATGTCAGCTTTTGACACTGAATGAAAGGTAGAAAGAGGGGGTGGGCTTTGGAGGTGAAGCTAATTAACTTATGCTTGATGAGATAAAGAAGAGAGAGGTGAATGTAGAGAGGAGAGGGTCATGGTCAAAGCTATAGCAAATTTGGGGTGCACTTACCCATCACAGGTTACAGGGAGTGCTTAATGCTGAGATGGGAGAAGAACAGAAGCTCCAGTTTCTCTGCTGATTCTTGGCTTCACAATATTGTGTTTTTCTGTCCTGGTTTTTGCCTTGAAATGATTGTACAAAAATACTCATTTTCTTTGGTAATATTTTACTGGCATTATGGTTAAACAATAGCATGTGGTGTGATGTGATTAAGAATTGGGTCCTTACTGTCTCTGTGGATGATGAGAAGAAAAAGTTTAAAAGACTTGCGCAGTAACAGTGCTGAGTTGGATTTGTGGGACCTGGGGGCACATGTGGCTGTATCTCTTTCTTCTGATTGCTTCGTGAGTGCATACTGAGCATTAGGAGAGTTCCTTGTCTTTACTATAGATGGACCAATAACAAGCTTGAGAAAAGTTAATTCTTTAAAGATGTTGTAGGAATTTTACCGTGACTGATTATGTCTGTCATTGTAGTTCTAGGTGATGTTTTTGGTTAGTGCATATGTGCCTCTCTCCTCTCCCTTCCCCAGTGTTGCTCTGATGACAGTGCTGTAGCACTGATTCTTTTCTTTCTTTGGTACTGGTGCAGGCTAGGAGCAACTTTGATTGAAGTCTGTGGCATTTAACTGTGGAAAAAATACTGATGCAAGGTTCTGAAACTTTAAAAAAAAAAACAAGATGAGGAGAAAGGGCTTTCACAGTCTGTAAAAACACACTGTCAGATAGTGTCACTGTCAAATAGGAAGGACAGGATGAAGTTAGTGTGAAGCAGGCAATGAATTTGAACAAATACAATGATATTGAATGGCTGGAGGCATGTTACAACGACCTGGAAACTTTATGGTCCATAACCTTCTTTCCATAAGATTGTTTTGTATGCAACAAAACAAATGAAGCTTCAGTATGGGTGAATGTCCTATGTCCTAGCATTCTGCTGTCACAATAGGTCCTGTTCCTCATGACATCTCCCAAAATACCTGCTCCCATCCCTTCTGTTTCCCCATGAAATATCTTGAGAGCTCTTTACATTTCCACAGCCTGTTCACATGGTCAAGAGGTGGCACACAGTGTGAGGCTCCTTTCATGGTGATCACATGGGGATTTCCATGAACCTTTGGACCTCTCTCTGTAAGGCCGTTGAGTTTCAGTGTTGACTGTGGAGAGCAGTCAGATGAGGAGGTAGCACACACACCTCATTTCATTAGGAAGCTCGAATAAAATTCATGACCTAATCAGACAGGTTTGAAAGAACGCAGAGACTGTATCCGTAGCTAACATGATTAAGTCATTTGTTGTTCGTCTGCAGCAGATGGACTTGTTCAAAAGGTTTGGAATTGGGGCTGATCTCTTCCATCTGTCTGATATCAAACTTGGTGTGAGTTTGTCACCAGACAGCTTGCCAGTACGTTTGTGTGTCTTTTGGTCAAGAAGACAGAAAAAAGTAGCCATGGCTGCTTGTTGTTGTGAGATGTACTTTTTGTGCAGTTGTCTGGAATCTTGAAACGTTTTTCAAAACTTTGGTATTTTTTTTACCATCTTGAATGTAATCTGGAGGTACATAGAAATAATAGGGTAAATTGCTATTAAAGTGAGGGGAAATCTTGACAGCAATACTTATTAGGCAGAGGAATAGTCTCCCAAGGGAGCTGCTGGAAGCTATCACTTAGATCGTATTAAAACAAGATTGGACAAGGCACTGGAAAATCTACGTTAGGGAACAGTCCTGCAATGACAAAGGGAGGGACTATATGACCTAATAGGATTTTTTCCATCTCTGATTTCTGTGATAATGTCAGGAGGCCAGCTGCTTCCACAATTATTCTGTGCCCAGATTTTATAATATTGTCTCCCTTTCCAACACTTGTTCGTTTTAAAGTGTTTATTCAGCAGAGGAGGAAGGGAGAGTCTAGTAGTGTGAGTTACTGATAACTTATAAAAATATGGCTGGTTTTGTAGGTTGCCAGCCAAATACAATGTTGATTTAGTTACTTAAATTCTTCCTTCAGCTCATTTTCTGAGGGCCAGATTCATTCCATCTAGTAAATGGGCTTAGACACAGGATAGCTCTGTTTATAATTCCTTTCTTGTTTCTTTCTTCCCTTTCAGCCCACCTTGGCTTGCCCCCAGTATCCCAGGGAACTTGTACTGGAAAAGCTACAAAAAGGGGCTGAGTAGATAATTTACAGAGACCATAAATTCTTCTGTTGCTTTTAAAGGCAACAGTTTTGCTGTTCTTCTTACAAAAACGCTGCTCACCAGTGCTTTTGTGGACAAGGTTTGGTTTGCTCATGAAGCACACAGAGCACTGTTTTGTACAATATCAATCCTCTCCTAAAAATTGCTGTTTTTCCCCTGACTGTATATATTGATAAACCTACCATCTTAAATGGGAAGAAAGAGGGGGATGGAGTTTACTTGTAATTTGACTTAAAATGCAGTGCAGACTGAAAACCTTTAGGAAGAAAAAGGGTTTATTTTAGTGCTTATTCTGTAGCTTGTTCCCAATCCAGCAATAGCTAAAATCATGCAATAACACAGAAAATAAACAAATTTTAAAATAACAAGCTGTTGATTTTTATAACCAGCCATATCCCTTTTGTTGTGTTGCAATCTATTTCTCCACATTTAGCACTAAAAATATTTTTTTCTCTTTCTATCACAAACACTTATTTATTAATTAAAATTTCAACTTGTGCTAATGAGCATGTTCTAAAAAAATAAAATAAGTGTAATTGCCTTTTTTCTAAAAATAAACTATATTTCACATGATGATTCAGAGCCTGATACAAACCCTTTTCAATCAAGAAACACTTTCAATTTTTTCATGATCCTAAATCCATCTTCTAGCTCTGTTTAGCTTGGAGGAGGCAGAGGTAGGTTGCCTACCTCTTGGTCCTTCCTACATGGCAAGCTGTGCAAAGGCTTGGAAGGCTGTTGAAGTTCCTAAAGGAGCTGTGTGGCAGCCAGCGACATGTTTTAGCCTTTTTGATCTTCTCCCCTGTAATTGATGAACTCTAAGGTGAATTTGTAGAAAACAGTCTTAGTTCTTCCCAACTTTTATTTTGCAAAACTGAACAAGCCATGGTCTCCCCTGCTTATAAAGTCAGCTCCAGGCTCTTCTGGTGATGCTGGTGGACCTTCTCACTGTCCATTCCCAGCTAGAACCACCTTCTCTCAGCATGGGTGGACAATGTACTCCATATAGTGCCTCACCACTACCTTGTGCAATGATAATAACCCCTTCCACTGTTTCTGAAGAAAGTACTTTCCCTGGGTGTATCTTGCACTGACTGTGTTTTTGGTTTTTTTTCTGTGGCTTTGTTAACATTGACAGGCTATAGTGAGATGTGACTTGGGGAGGTTTCTCTTCGTCTGCTGTTTCAGCTAATGAGGAAGCCTTCATATCCAAAGATAACCTCCTGGGGATGTTTTGATGGCAAATGTGGTAGAGGCTGTGAGGGGGTCAGGTGTGATTGCTCCATTAGGCCACTGCAGCACCATGGTGGCCAGATTGAGCTGCCTCTTAGGAGGCATCTGTGGCCAGCTCTGCTGGTAGCTGATGAGCAAGCTGGAGCTCTGCTGCTACTAGCTGATGTTTTGAATTTCGTGTGAATAAAAGCTGACAGTGTAGCATGCTGGAAGTTATGCTTTTGGAAAAGTCTCTTGGGGCTTATTTACATGCAACCCAACTGCTTCTGTAAGCACTGAGGGATATTTTCAGCATTTGACTAAACTTTTGTCGACAACTGTCCTTTGATTTATAGCTACATGGCTGTGGCATAAATGTGTACTACA